TGTTGGCAATTAAATTTGTGTTTGACAAACGTCAAATGAGCTACGAGTGTAAGCAATTTATGGCTAATAAATTGTCGACATATTAATTGATGAATGGCTGGCTACCTGTACATCCAGGTAATAAATTGATTGACAACGACCGCCTGTGAAAATTCGAAAGACGCTCTGGAAAAAAAGAAAGTGAACAAAGGTCCAGCTGTGACTGTTGATTGGTTGGTTGGTTGGTTGGGTTCAGGCATTCAGACACGTTTGATATTGACCTTGTTTAAAGCACCGAGAGTCTTCGGACTTCGCTCCGTGCACTAATTGAAAGAAAAGCTCGACATTAGGCATTAACATGCAACAGACGGCGGGGGCAGCATGGGGCGGCATGAAAAGCGAATTGACATGCTGCAACATGCGCATTATCTAGAGGCAAACATCTACAAAATATATACAGAAACTCCACAAAGAAAAAGTCTTATCATTAGCAAAATACAAAATCAATGAAATTGGCCATAAAATTTCGATTGGCCCTTGGCAAGGGGCAGCTGCGATGCGTGGGAGTCTCGCTGGTCGAGGTGTCTGCAAACGTGTGCCACATAATTGATGTTGATCAGAGTAAAGTCAATTGAAGACAATTGGACAATATCGGACAATCGGAATGGCGGACGGACAGAAATAGTTTAGTTTTCAGCACTTTCTAAACTTAACGCCCACAATACATTGTATTGACAGTTGGGCTGGGTGGGTGTGGCTGTGTCGCCCATACATCATGCTGATATCAATCAGCAAAACAGCAAAACAGAAATCTGTGCGTTCTCGCTGCTTTGCCAAAAATCCAACACTCAATTGAAATTCTTGGGGCAGCCTGTTTTTGGCAAGTCTGCCATGGATGTCGGTGAATTAACGGTTAACCCTCTGCAAGTGTTCTCCCTCTCTTTTTATCACTCTTTCTCCCTCGCTCGCGACATCAAAACAGAACAGGAGCAAGAAGGTTGCCAGTGCCTGACTAGAGGATACCCTTGCAGCTTGTGTAGTAGCTGTGATAGGAAAAGGGATATAGAGAGATATTATTGATATATAAAGCGATTATTAGTTATCTTATTGAATGAGTCAGGAAATGAGCGTATTTAATGTCGCCTCAAAATTCCCGATTTAACTAGTGTTTTTTCCTATTTTCAGATTTTTTTTGATAAGCTCGCTAACATCATATAACATATGTATATTATTTAACATAGGGTATATCTGAGTTGATATGTCTCTAACTGCATATATGCAGAGGAATACATCTAAATTCCAAGCAGCTTTTCATTCAGATCAGACCTAAATATCTATGAGGTTAGCTGGCTGGCTATCTTTATATAATTAATTAGCTCTTAAATGTCGTTCACTTTCTACCTTCTCTTCTATGCACATTGGATTTCCCTCTCAGTTCTTTCCGTCAGTAGAGAATGGGTATATACACTCTTGCAGCTAGAACCTTTTTCTTATTGCGCCTCGGCGGGTCAAGTGTGCAAAATTTCTAAGCGCGTCGTTTGCTGGCTCCACTGCTCCACTAAACGACAGCCGGCGACGTGTGGCTGTCAGTAGGGCCATCAAGTTGGGCGATTTGATGTGCTCGCCACAATTGAATTAAATTTAAGTGCCGCACTAGAAAGTGCGACTGCATCACGTATACGCACTGCACGACGGCTGCGTTCTCCAAAGGGCTTGGGTGGGTGAGCGTGTGTTTAGAGTGGGCTCTGGTGGGTTGGTGTGCTGCTGGCTGGCCCACGTGTCGTCAAATTTAAAAAGTGCGCATGATATTTCCAATGCACTATCATTTGCATTTTAGAAAGTTACACGTGTTTCTCGTTGCATTAAGGTGAAATAATCAAAAATGAAAGAAAATCAAAAACAAAAACAACAACAAAAGCCAAAAAGGAAAAGTCAAAGTCTAAAATTAAGCTGCCAATTTCAATGGACTTTATATAATGACCAAGTCTGACTCGGGCCTGCCTCCCGCTAGCTCCCACTAATTCTATTCATAATTCGATTATCATAATTCCAGTCATGTTTTCTCAACCAGCTTAATGTAGAATTCTCTTTTTTTGCTCAACACGTCGCGCTGTTGCCAACGGCTTTATCTTTGCACACGTTTAGTGGTCCGTCCGCTTGTCTTTTGCTTCCTTCAGTGCGAGGCAAGTCGAGTCGAAATGCATTTTTAAAGTCATTTCTGTTGCCATGTGCGCGAAAAAAAATGCATGTAGGCATTTTAATGCACATGCGCGCAGGGCTAACAACTACTTATCAGCAATTTAGCTGCCCATATACCATCTAAGGCCGGGATATAATGACATACATATATATACAAACATACAGCTATACAGCCATAAATCTTCTATGGAAGTCAGTTGTGCTTGACACGTTCCATTGCTGCCTTGGCTTAGACTAAAGTTAGAAGCTCGTTAATAGACATTAAATATGTGCCCAATGAAAGTTGATTAGTATTTGACTTTTATATACATAACTTAGCCCGAGCGTTATGTTTGTGAATTGGAGACAGCTGTGGAGTGGCTGAGGGAGCCATTGCTACAGAGTGCCTGCTACAAAGTAGATGAATAGCAAGAGAAGTAAAGCATAAGCTGAATACTAAGGAATTGCAGTCTAATAAGAAATTGTTTTACTATTAAATTGAGGAGTATTATCTATATTATCTATACATTTCAGCACTTCTAAGTTCCCTTATTCCATATATCAGTTTCTTCTTACACCTTAAATTCCTTCGAATATTGCTTTGTCAGCTTTGCAGACTTCTAGAAAACTTCTAAGTAACTTAATGTGCATGGTGGATAGTCTCCGATTACTAAGAAATTGGTTAGCCATAAGTACGCCGTACTGGCTGCCTCTTGTCGGAGATTAAGCTCGAAAGATTGTCGGAGGAGAGGCAGAAAGACAGAGTGAGACACAGCGACGACAAGACGACGTGAGATTGCAATTTTATGTGTACCAAGTGGGGCTTTAACTTAAACTTTAGAGGTGCGTGCTTCTCAGTAGAGTACAACAGTCGCAAAATATAAAAATTCATTGGGGTTCAATGGCAGAAGAAGAGATGGCAAAGGATTATGCAACAAACGAAATATCATCATATAGTTGGGTTGCTTTCAAAACAAGCGACGCTTATTAGGGCGCATTAATAATTTAGAATGGTCTGCTACCATTTCGCCTGTGGGGGCTGGCTTCACGTACAAGTATTACGCGTCAATTATGAATTTCTAATTTGACGAGCATATATTGTATATTTGGTTTCATATGTGTGTGTATGTGTGTATATATGTGCTCTGAGCTAGGCGCAGTGCCAGTCCCGCCTTTGCCCTCTTGTCTGTTCTATCGAAATCACGTACAGCGAGGCACAGCACAAAAAGCGAAAGCTGCCGGGGCCAATGGCATCGGAAATAGCGCCTAACCATAAACAAATATCGAGTTAATAATCATTTTTAAGTGTATTTTAATTGCCAGTGAATCAACTGGCGCTAACAAAAGCAGTCAGCAAATGCTGACAGCGGCGTTTAAAAGTGGCCTGGGGCGGTGCTTTTATTACATCTTACGCTTGAGATAAATCTCTTTGAGTTGGCCAAAAAAAATGTTGCCTGGCATATCAATGAGGCGGCAACTGGAGTCCAGGTAGACACTCCCTATGAGATGCTATCAGGGCTGAGCCAGAAGGCGGCATTTGAGATGAGAGCACAGAGAGCTTGGATATGAGAGATGAGAGTCGTGCAATATTAGCTAGAAGACGTTGGAATGTGAGAGCTGAGAGTTGAAATATGAGAAATAAGAACTGGGATGTGAGAGACGACAGTTGCGAATCGACAACTTGAGAGCTGAGCCACAAAAACTAAGAGCATAGAGAGAACGTGAGAGGAGAGAGGAAATAACGAAAGAAGATAGATAGAGCAAGATAGAATGATAGACTCACAGAGAGGGAGGCAGAGACCGAGAGAGAGATATATATAGAGAGAAAGAGTGACAGAGAGCAAGAGAGAGAGAGAGAGAGAGAGAGTTTAAGGCTGTATTAATCTTTACCAAACTTCTCTATTTAAGATCAGACTACACTCTTCGAAAGATACTTTGCTAATTTTTAGTTCGTTTTTAAAGCTCATTCAGAATAATAATACCATACTCGAATAATATTTATGGCTCACCTGCTATTTTGATTACATTAAAATAAAAATTACGCCGTAAGGATCTCTTCAGAATAAATTTAAGATTCAAAACAGATCAAATCGAAGCTGTAATTATTCTCAATTTATTTTTAATTTTTTTCAAATGACTTCACTTCCGAAGATGACATTATATTTACAATTCTGATTTTCTTCATAAGATTCCTGTACCATTCATACCACCAGCTAATACTCTGATCTGTTGTCTCTTCCTATTCCTCTCTCTCTCTGTCTTCTCTCACTCTCATCACTCAACTTAGGTTCCACAACTTGAGTTCCACCAAATTCCATGTCACGTTTGCGCAGTAGAAGCGACAACAATGTAAGGCACTTGCCAATGTAATTGTAGTTGTTGTTGTAGTCAACGTTGCCGTTGTTGCTGTTGTTGTCGCCTACATTTCTTTGCCGCACGCACCTGTATAGGTGTCGCTGTGTGCATGTGTGTGCGTGTGTCTGCGTGTTCGTTGTGGTTTTCTCTACCTTTTGCATTCTTAATAAATCAAAGTGAAGAATATATAAATTGGGCGTCGCTTGGTTAGCTCGTTCGCAGTTAGTATTTGGTAGCCAACGGTGCCTCACAGGTGTGTGCAAAGAGTCGCAGACAGTACGAGTGCAAGCTTTGGTCGTTACAAATCTATCTTGAAAAAGGCAGAGAGATAAATAGTTGCTTACGTCTTGGATAACATTTGGATTACACACACGCACACATACGCCCACAAAGAGAGTGAGAGAGAGCCAACAAGGATTACTATGCTCTCCAGTTGTTATTAAGTGTTGTGATAAAAGTGATATAGCTATACATATACATATATATAGAAATATATACAACTGAACAATCTGTGCAAGTTAACCATCATGTGGAAGCTAATATCTGTAGTGGTGCTCCTGGTTGCCGGCTGCAGCGCGGGACCCCTTAGCCAACAGGTGGGTGTTTGGTTTTGGATTTGGATTCGATTAGGCTGCAAGTAGTGGCAGACGACTTCCGTTAGCAAACGGAAATCGAAACGGGCAACGGAAAACTGTTAATGAAATGTGTTCGCCTTGCCTTGCCAGGGCATAGTCAGAAATTTTTAATGGCAACGCGACTTCAACTCTCAGCTGTCTTAGTCATTCCAGAAGTCTGTCTGTCTGCCGCCGCCTCCTCCTCCTCCTTCGCCTCCCCCTCGACATTTTGCCATTTGCATAAGACTAGTTGGTATGCCAAACGTTTAGCCTTTTAACGGCTAAATGCAGCCGAAGAGTCCAACAGCCGCAGAGCAGAAGAGTTAAAGAAGTGCCAAAGTATTTATAGACAGCTGCAGGCTCGTTACGTTTATGGCAGACACGCTCTAAGATTGGCAACACTCGATCAGATATTCCAGAATAAATAAGTGTAATATGTTTTGGATGTAGATATAAATAGATATGCCAAAAATATATGCATATATGATAACGCAAGTCACGAAGACATAATATAAATACCATATGAATGGAGCTGAAAGAACAGGCATAGAGTTGAGGCATAGAGAGACTTAAGATTTGCATGATTTCCAAACTATATCAATATTGATCACATTAAATACATGATTACGAAAAAAGATAGATATAAAGCTAAGGTATTTATATTTTATACAGCGATTTCATAAGCCGTGCGTCTGCGTGACTGAAAGCCGAAAACTGATTAAAATGCATAGCTCCAATCGAAATATAAATAATATATCGATATGGTTAAAAAAATGATGTGATAACATGCGAGCGTATGGAAAGTAACTTCAATTGCAGCGTTGACCCTAAATGGTTTCCCGCCAGGTGCGAACTGCAAACGCATTTGGTTAGCAGCTTCGTTAGGGGCTTAGTGCATAGTTTTCACTTAACGCCAAAAAACTAGAACACAAGTGAAATTTTTTTTTGGTCGATTTCAATACGAATCGCCTAGCTCGCTCGATTGAGCTGAGAGCTTCAGGCCCGAGTCATGTCACGTGCTTGATTCGATATTGAGGATTTGCGCATGCGTGGCACGTAGTCCGTTAGCTGAATGGTCTTAAGTGTCTTAATGCTTGCGCTCGTAACTCTTTTGCAGCGAAAGAATATGCCCATTATGGCACGCGAGGATACGGCAACAGCTGTCGAGCAGGAGTCGGACATGCAGATGGAGGCTGCTGAGGAGATGCCAGCTGCGGAGGCAACTCCTCTCGTTGGCACACTGACGCTGCCCAGCAATGCGACTTCGATACGAGCCGACATCACGGACAACTTTTCGTGCGCCAACAAGAGTTACGGCTACTACGCCGATGTGGAGAATGATTGCCAGATCTTCCACGTGTGCCTGCCCGTGACCTATGCCGACGGCAAGGAGAATACCTTCCGCTGGAGCTTCATCTGCCCCGAGGAGACGATCTTCAGTCAGGTAAGCGAGTCGCCAGCTGTTCGAGTGAAGGGAAAATAAAAGATTTCCTTGCAGGAGTCCTTCACTTGCATGCGTCGCGAGGACATGACCATCGAGTGCGAGGAAAGCTACAGATACTACGAATTGAACAGCAACTTTGGTCTGCCTGCAGAGGAGGAGAAGTCGCCAGCACCAGCAGTGGCAGCAGCTGCATCAGCTCCTGCTGAGCCCCAGCAAGCCGAGCAAGAGAAACCTCAGCCTGAGGAGAGCGAAATGAATGCTCCTGCTCAGTCAGCTGCAGCTGCTCCGGAGCCGGCAATGGAGCCAGTGAAGCCAGTGAAGGTGCAAAAGCCCAAGCCGAAGCCGAACCGCCGCAAGCCCGCCGTCACCTACAACAAGCCGCAGAGGAAAGTGCCTGTGGTGGTCACAGAAGCGCCCATAACTCCAGCTGTGGAGGCCGAGGAACCTGAGGTCCAGACCGTGGCAGTGGTTCAACAGGCGGCCAAGCCTTCGAAACCCCATCGCTTTATCAATAGACCCAGCAACAAGGAGAGGCCGCAGCCCGCTAAGCCAGCAGCACCTGCGCCTGCGCCTGCCGCGCCCATACGCAATGAGTTGTTCAGCTCCATACGCAAGCGTCCGGCAATGTTCAACAAGAACAGCATCTCGAGCACTGCGAGACCCGTGATGGAGAGCGAACCAGCCGTGACGGAAGCTATTGTGCAAGCTGAGTTGAATGAGCCGATGCCCACGCTGAAGCTGCAGACGATGTTCGTGGAGGCAGCTCCTCCCGCTCCTGCCGCTCCTGCAGCTCCTGTTGCTGAGCAGGCGGCAGAGCCTGTTGCCGAGGCATCTGAGCCAGTTGTAGCCATAGCCGAGCCTCAACCGGTGCCCGAGCAGGCAGCCGAGCAGATAAATGCAGAAGAAACAGCGGAGCAAGCGATTTCCACAAAGCCAGAGGAGGACGAAGTGCAGCCCATTGAAGCCATTCCAGAGATACCCGCTGTCATCGTGGAGACTTTGGAGGAAAAGCCAGAAGAAACGGAAGCCATGAAACCAGCCGCTGAAGAGCAACAGCAGCAGATGGTGGACTCTCCCATGGAGCCAGCGATTGTTGAGCCAAGCCAGTCCAACGAGGAAACTGTGAACCTTGAAGCCATGGAGGCAGCTAAGCCCGCTGATGCGCCTGTCAGTCTGCCAGCCACACCCGCCATGGAGCATCCCAGTCCCCTGGTGGAGGAGATGTTGAATAACAAAAATGAGGCACAAGAATCGCTTGGCGGCTTCAAGCCCGTCGATCCCGTTATGGCTGCCGAAGCGGAACAGCTGATCACTGACTTCTTGAATACGCTGCGCAAGCACGAGGAAGCAACTAAAACTAAAACTAAACCTGAAACCGAGACAGAGACAGAGACAGAGACTGAGCTGGCCAATGCGGCCATGGACATGGCCGAAACCATTGAGCAGCAGCCACAAATCCAAGAGAGTGAAACGAAGCCAGCAGCTGAGCAACTGCAGCAGGCGGAAATCGATGCAACGGCCGTTTCCATCGAAGAGGCCAAGCTGCCCGAGCCAGACACTGTTGATAACAATGCCTCAGTGGAGGAGCAGGTGCTGGAAGCGGAGCCAGTGCAGCAAGCGGAACCCAAATTGAAACTGAAACAGGATTCGCCCATTATTAATATTATGCAGCTCAATCATTTGCCCGCCGACTATCAAATACCCGTGCAGGTGGTTGCTGAGCCAGAACCGGAGCCGCAGCCAGAGCCAGAGCAACCCGAGTCAGTGCCAGAGCCCGTGCCCGAAGCTGTTGAGGAGCCGGCTAAGGAAATGGAAATTCAGTCGCCAGCTGAGCCAGCGGAGCCAGCGGAGCCAGCTGTTCAAGATGATGCCCAGGAGAATCTGCCTGCGGCTGCCTATATGCCAGGCATTAGCATCGACGACATTGTGGAGCTGGTGAAGGAGCGACTGGATCAGAATCCCAAGAATGAACCAATGGCGCCCATGGAACTGGTGCTCACACCAGGCGCTGCTGAGCCCATGACATTGATTCAAAGCAAGCCAGAGGAGGCGGAGAAAGAAGAGCCTGCAGAGCCCGCAGCAGAGCCCGCTGTAGAAATGGCGCCTGCTGCACCGCTCATCGCTGAGCCGGCGCCCGCTGCAGTCGAGGAAGAGGAAGTCATTCTGCCCATATACAAGCGCGTTTCGGAAGCGGATCCAGCCATGTCCGTAGTGCAAACGCAGCCCCTGACTGTGAGCAAAGTGGAGGCGGAGGCGACACCGCAGCAGGAGGAGGCGACAGCTGCAGTGCCGGAGGTGCGAGAGCCCAAGACTCCATCGCGAATGGATGCACGCAAACGTCGCTTTCTCTTTCGTGCCGACGCCAGCTAGAGAAATTACCCACCACCCACGCTCTACCCCGGAGCACCATACCCGCCCACAACATCAAGCCTCTCGCAGCGCCTCCCTCCACTCATTTGCACCTAGGCACCTATGACTTTTTCAATTATTTCCTAGTTTTATGGCCATTTCTTTCTGCATAGAGAGTTGAAATTTAAGTTTAGCATTGTTGCATCCTTGACAAAAACAAACGTGACAAAAAAATTGAAAAAACTTTGAATAAAAAAATATTAAAAAACATAACACAGGTATGTATCGATTCTTATTTGACTCGAATCTCAGGTATCCAATATGGGTTAGCGAGCTCCATCGTGCACAGGTTTGAGTGTTTGTGTTTGGCTAGTCGCATTCAGCCTTTGAACGGTAGAGATGGCCAACTGAAAAGCGACCTAACTGAAAGCGAATCAAGGGAACTAGGCCAATAGGCGAGAATCATATAGAAATAGTTTTCAAGAGTCTTTGAACTTGTAGAACTTGTATACAATTACGGGTCGTATTTAGGAAGATGGATCTCATTAATATTTACATTTTTGCATACATTCATGCAATCATACATAGATAGACAGACAGTTTCAAAACGTTGTATATATTTTTTTTTCAATTTTTATACAAATGTAATTTAATTTAATTTATATTAATTCATGTAGAAAATCGTTTCGTATTTTCACTTGCTTACATTTGCCTTATGCTTAGGCTTTGGGTAATTAGCTGTATGAGGCAACTACCGGGTGAGAGAACTACAGCGTAACAGCAGCATCTGCAGGCGCTGGACGATAAGTAACTTTGACAATCACAATGGACAACGGTATACTGGAGTTTCAAGAGACAGTACACACACATACACATATACATACACATACACATACACATATACGAGTACATATATGCATATGCTATGCCTCCGTCTCCTGCTCCAGTTCGCCGGCTTGGATCTCCTCGGGTGTGCGCAGATCGATGGCAAATTTATGCCTGGTTGGCGTTATGGTATCACTGGGCGTGGCACTAGCATTGGCGTCCTGCTCATCGTTGGCTGCCTCCTTCACGACGCGCGAGTAATCCTGAAAGGCGGCGGACAGGGCAAAGGTCAACTTGCGCGCCATGGCCCGACTGTCGCAGACAAAGGCGTGCACCTCGAACGGATGCGGACTAGACTCATCCTTGACCACAATCATGGCAAAGACGCGCGTATAGACCAAGTCCTGCACTCCATATGAGATCGTATCGATCGGGTAGCTCCAGTTATTGATGCTCGCCTTCGGTGAGATGATCTCCACTTGAACGCCCGATGTGGACACCTTCAGTTCGCAGTTGGGCAACACTTTGTTGGGCGGCAGATTCTTGGCCACGCCCACCATCAAGTCAACTGGCCTGCGTGTGTATTTAATGCCCCACAGACCACGCGCCGCCTCCGAGCCAATGTATTTAACCTGCAAAAGCGAAACATATGAACAAGGTAGAACGGGAACTGGAGTTGCCGGAGCTGGAGCTCAAGCTGGCGCTACTTCCGGGCTGAGTCGCCGTTAGCTGTTAGCTGCTGGCAAACTCTCTGAACTGTCGCCTCATTTGCATCCGACCCGAACCGGATGTCAGCGCTGTCCACCAACCACACACAAACACACAGCCAAAATTCACAATGTCCAGCCAAGCGTGACGAAAGTGCGTATTTGTCTGGCTAAGTTTCATTCGGATGCACTGCACAAAAATTGTGGTTCCAGAGTTTTATGAATAAATTGGTATCATTGGAATTGAATTTTGATATTGAAAAATCTAGAATATTTACAGTTCTTCTTTTTGAAAGTAAGCATGGAAGATAGAAATTATTTTTAAAAAAATATTTTATTTATTTGTTTTTTTTTTTTTTTTCTGAGTAATGAGATGACTGAGCGGTAATTAAAATATTTATATTAAATTTTTTATAAAACACAAAGACAAAGATTATACAAGAAAATCAAAATAATAATTGAGAATTTACTTTAAACCAAAGAAAGTTTAATGAGAAAATATTGAAAATTATAATCGAAAATTTTCAGAAATTAAAAAAATTCAGATTGATCTGCTTGCTTAAACTTTTAATCAACTCCCAGATAATTCCACTTCAATCGTTAAAACTAGCTAGCTTCAATTTTTAAGTTATCCTAAATTTAGGAAAAGTCAATTCGAACCACATAATTTCGTGCAGTGTACATTGTGGGTTAGGTATGTGGCGGCGGGTGTTAGTCGGTCTTTGGTCGTCGGTTAAGCGCTTAATCCATGCGCGTTGAACTTCACATTTAAATTTATGGGAATTTAGCAATGAGTCGATTTTTTTATTTTTTATTTGTTGCTGTTGTATGTGAAATGCTGCGCTCTGTTTGCGGCACTTGTTTGTATTTGAGAGCTGAAAGACTAACCTTGAAGCTTATTGGCAAATCCTCCACATTCACTTGAGTATCCAAATCACTGGGATGATTGTTGTTGTTGTTGCTGCTTGCAGCTCCATTGCCGGTGGCCATAGTTTCGAGTCAACTTCAGTTCAGCGTAAGCTGCAATAAATATGCCTATTTGTAGTTGAATACCTTGGGCATGGCCTCTACTTTTATCTCCACACAGTTATTCCCCTTACAACGGGGCGTATCTTTAGTTATTACCTAACTTATCTTCATATTTTCATGGTTCACTTTGCCTAACTGTGATGTGCTGCTCGTGCCTTAGCAGTTCTCAAAAATTCTACTATTCTACGGCTCTGTTGTCCCTGCCTCTGCCTCTGTTGCTGTTGCTGTTGCTGTTGTTGCCGGCTGTCAACTGCGACTGACGTCAACAGGCAGCAACAACATCCAAATTTGTTGTGTGCACAACTGAGCCCAGCTAGAGGTGAGCAACCACTGAAGGTGGCTCGGCTGGTGGTGCTAGTGGTGGTGGCAATCGTGGTGAAGGTGTAGGTGGACTGACCAGTTGCCAAGCCCATTGCGCATTGACTGCTCATTGTGTCTCTTTCTATTGTGCATGATCTACTCTCTCTTCCACTCTATCCCTTTCTCCTCCACTGTTTGCATGGCTTATTGTTCAGCTGTCTCCCTCTCGGTGTTCCTGTGTCAATTACTGATCTGTCTCTCTCCATTGTCTTTGTATTCGTTTCTTTTTCCTCTTTGTATAACACGGACAGAGACTCCGTTAACCATTCATTCTATCTCTATCTATCTATCCATCTATCTCTATCTCTCCCGCATCTCTCTTTCTCTCTCTCTCTTGATCTCCGTCTCTGACTCTCTGACCCGTCTCTCTCTCTTCCTTTGTCTTTCTCTATCTCTCTAACACTTTTTCTATCTCGCCCTCGCTCTTTCTTTGTGTCTCTCTCTCTTTATTTCTCATACTATCTCAATCTCACCCTCTTTCCATTGTTCTCACTCTCACATTCTCCCTCTTTCTCTCAGTTGCATTCTCGCAATCTTCATTACTGTATCTGTCTCTTTTCATTTCAGTTTCACTCTTTGACGCTTTTTGTCTTCTCTCCCTCTCTCTATATTGAGTTTCATGCTGTAACAGCAATAACTCCCAACAACAATAACAACATTAATAATACTAAAAATATTAAAAATAACATTAACAACAACAATATGTATTCTACATTCAGTTTTGTTGGCTTTAAAGGTTTGGCGTTTTCAACAGTTACAATTTCGATAAGGTTTCTGGGGCGACAAAAAACGAATAAAGATAAGACAAAGAAGTCTTCGAAAAATTTACGATTTGAGATATATATAAGAATTACGAATATGTGAAAATATTTTCTATTTAAAATAAATCTATTTATATTTTATTTTGTATTTATTTTATGATAGCGAAGGTCGCATAATATAAATTATAAAGATATCATATCAACATTTCGATATATTTATTATATATAAATCAATACAGAGTATGTTTAAATTCATCAAGTTCTAATATTGTATGATGATGACATACGAGGGTCTAAGCATAGAGTATATAACATTCGATCTTTTGCCTAGTTTTTCTCTGCTTGTATCTTATGCACTTGAACTGAAATCCGTTGTTGTCTTTGCACTTGTTATTGGGATTACCTATGTTGTTGCTCTTGTTATTGTTATTTATTAAAAATGCATTATTAATACTTCCGCTGGCTTCGAGCGTTAGCTGTGAAAGCTGTGCAGCTGATAGCGGGAGACAGCAGCAGCAACGGCAGCAATGAAAGCAATAGCAACAAAAACAACAACAGCAACGACAACAATTGCATGTATGTATATAGCCAGTTAATGAGCAGGTAGATAAAAAAGAAAACAACAAAAATAACAAAAAAAGAAGCAAAACTGTAACGAATTGTTTTTATTGCAGTTGATTTGCCGCTGGCCCCACATGACGTCACAATTTGAGCTTATGTTTAAATAGACTGACACATACACATACATATACATATATGTATGTATATGTGTAGTACATAGCTGTAGTTTGCGCTTGAGTCTATGTTAATGGCCAACGACCTGGTGTGACAAGTGCGAACCTAATTGCAGCTTGGGGAATACGCATAGCAGAGTTCTGAGTTCTCATATTTTCTGCTTTTCATTTTTTTATTGTGTAAAACTTTATTTATGAGTTATTTTAGTTGTTTTCTTTCCCTTTATGAGCTATTTTAATATTTTTCTATTTCTTTTTTTGTTAACTATTTCTCGCGTTGGGAACTGGCTCAACAGCGGCTCTAGGTAGACGTCTATAAATAGAGCTATTCAGTAGTCGAAAAGTTTTGTATCATGTGTTAGAGGTACAGTGAAGCCCCTAAGTGAAGAGTGCAAATTATTATTATTTACTATAAATATTTCCAAACTGCGGTCTTAAAATTTGTATATAAATAGATTTGCTAATAATTGATTGCATATTGGTCGCTCAGTAAGTATTGAAAAAAGTACAGTGAAGACTCTAGTTGAGTTGATTATTATTATTATCGTATCATTATTAGTTTCAAGGTTTCTTTACAGTGCAGCCTCCAAAACATGGATATATTTTATATTAATCATAATTTTTGTTAATAACTGTAAATACTCAATACAAATAATTTCTTATGACCAAATTTAACTATAGAAATAAAAGGTTTCTTTTTAATTCTTCTTAATTCTTCACCCAATTCATATGTGAAATTGATTGCATGATTTTCTGAAACCTCTCACACTTTAACGATCGTCCACTGTATTTCACTGTCGATTTAATCTGAGGCGCGCACAAAAATGAAATTATTTCCGATTTATGTTCGTAATAATTTCTATGTAATTTGATGGG